GGAGCTTATGCTCTCTCCTGTGCTCTCCTACAACCCTTCAACTCTTATCTTGCCACCCTCCTAGCCACCATGCCATTTACAAGGTAAAGTGACAGGATTGTGATTGCCAGCACATTTACTTTGGTGACATAAGTCATCAGATTGGAATTTTTAAAAATATATCAATAATTTTGACTAGGGGAAACACAAATGAAAGCTACATAATCTTTGAGGGTCTAACAAGATGGATGAAAGGAACTGAGTAGGTTTTAAGAGTCCACAAAGTTCCCTCTTGTTGTCTAGCACCACTAACAATGTCAGTCAACCAGGTCATCATTTACCTTTCTTTTAGACTTGCAAATGATCTAATCATAAAATAAGTTTATAAGCAGATATAAAGCATGAAGAAAACACATCTTTATTTCTCAAAAGAGCAATGCTTTCATTACTAACATGTACCTTGATTTTGAAGGCAAGTCTTAGTTCATTTAGACAGTGCAGACGCTACATCAGGATTTGAACACAAAAAGGTTATGTCAGCAGACAAGAGGTCCTAATTTATACTGAGGAAAAAACATCTAACAAAAGCATGTTGCAAACTTAGGTCTGCCTTGGCAAAGAGTACACAGTCACCTGTGGTAATTAGAGAGAGGCTGGTCACAGAATTAAGGCAGGAAAAGACTGCACAGCTCACTAATGTTGCTGTTTGTACAAATTTATGAGGCACCACTGTCAGGATAATTTTGAGTTTAGTTTTTCCTTAGTGCTTTTGCCTTATCTCTGTGTCATAAAGCAAAATCCATGCTAAGAGGCATGTAATTAATGGATGCTGCAAGGACATACAGGCCTCAAATTTGGAGATGGATTTTAACATTTTAAAATGGCAATGTCTGAAAGAGAGAAACAGTTCTGTAGTGAGAAGAAGCATTTGAAAGAAAGGCTATTCTTAATTAAGTTTTCCTTTGAGGGGGAGGGGGTGGGCAGGGAGAAAAGTGCAGCAATGAATGACTGGAAACCCGAAGTCTCTGTAAACGTTCATTTACATGAATTAAAAAAGTATAAAAAATTATTTAAAAAACTAATTTGGTCAGGACCATATGCAAGTGTTCAAATTCATTTTTCATTAACTTGCCCAGTAAATAGTTACTGAATGTGATGATATAGCTGTGCACCAACTGGAAGAACTGGAATACTAAAGACAGAGATAAGACACTTTTGAGGTAATTCTAAATTATTCAGTCTCTGTTTTCACGGGGATGTGGTGAGGCATCATGAATAAGAATGACTGACAGACTTCAAGAATGTAAGAACACACAAATGAGGGGGTCTCCAAGCTACTCTTTTCTGGCCTGCCTTTTAGAGGTAGGTTATAGTTACAGACTGAAGGAACATAACACACACAGATGTAGATAGACTAATTTTAGTCTAAAAGGCTTGGGATAACCTCAGTTTTAAATATCTCTTCCTAGTTTATCCATAAATCTATTCATATTTGTCATACTGTATAGGCAGTTTTGAATTGAGAAATACAGATAGCTTAGTAGACACTGAATTGCTGTATGTACCATTGAGTCAGAACGAGCTCATGGCTGACGCTCCAGGGGTTTTAGAGGCAGTAAACAATACAGGAGGAGACTGCCCATCTTTCTCCCATGGAGCAGCTGGTGGAGTCCAACCACGTGCCTTTAGGTTGGCAGAGTAACACCTTACCACTAAGCCACCAGAGCCCCCTAGATGTTGAGCGGGGTTATCTAATGCCTATGCAGGTTCTCCCGAGATCACAGGAAATAGAAAATTAAAAGCACTTCAATCACAACAGACTTGAGTGTCATGAAGACAGCCAGGTGGCTCTGAAGCTGCCTAAGTAGAACTTCAAGAAAATAGGAGGGAACAGACTGAAAGAAGATCCAAATAACCTGTGGTAACAAGGGAGAGGGGCCACAAAGAATTAAAACATAAAAGACTGTGTATCTCACTAACATTACTATTTGTTCATTTTTAAAGAACAATCCAATCAAGGTAGTTTTGAGTCAAATTTAGTTTGTATTCAATGCTTTCACCTGATCTTTGTGGCAATATGGCAAATTCAAGGAATGGCTAATGGGGTGATATGCAGGCCATGAATATGTGACAAAAGGAAGAAAGCAAGCTCATCTCAAACTTAAGGTCAAAATGCCTTTCAGGAAAGCCCGCATCAACCATTGATTCAATAATCTGAGTTCTAAGCAGCCCTGCAATAATAATTTTTTCTTTCAGCGAATAAAACTCATTCTTGGTAAATGGCCTTGCATATCCTATAGGACATATCATTGAACCACAGGTAGTAGGCAAAATGGTTTATTTGGGGAAATGCTCTCAGCAATACTCCCTCATTTAAGATACATTCCAGGGAGTATACCAAGATTTCCTATAAATGGCGTTTACACGGAATGATTCTATCATTTTTCTGATGCAAGGTGGTATGTGCCATCAAGTTGACTCTGACTTAGAGTGACCCTGTGAACAAAAAATCTGAACCTTTCCCAGCATAATGTCTTTTTCTAAAGACGAGCCTCTCCTGACGACATAGCCATAGTATGTGAGAGAGTTTCACCTTTCTTGCCTCTAATGAATACCTTGATTGCATTCTCTCCAAGACACTGACCAGATTTCAAGGTAGAATTCCTATTTAGAATCTGAATTTTAACTTGGTTTAACCTATTGGCATTGAAGTCTGAGGTAAGCCATTGGAACCTCTGAGTTTGTTCATCAATAGAAAAGAAACAAACCCTAGATCTTTCTGCCAGATTCTCAGTCTATTGCCATGGAGTTGATTTGAATGCATATAGATTCCATAGGAGTATCCAAGGGAGCTCTGGTGGCCTAGTGGCAAGAAGCAGCGCTGCCATTCCAAAGGCACAAAGTTTCAATCCACCAGCTGCTCTGCAGAAAAGGATGGGCAGTCTCCTCCCATGGAGTTAACTGCCTCTGAAAACCCACCCGAGGGTTAGCTATGGGTTGCTTCCAACTCAATGGTACACAACAGGGGTATCCATGGTCGTAATGGTTACTGCACCACCTTGCCACCTCTTCCTCCTTTCCAGCAGGTGAGATGCTGGAATTGCTGATCTTTCCATTAGCACCAGATTGTTTAGCCACTGTACCACCCAGGCTCTTTGCCGGATGATTAAATGACCTAAAATACACTAAAGTGTTTGGAAGATGACAGAATGATAAAGAAATGGAAGGTAACAGTACTCTTTGGCCTGGTTGCCATGGAGGGCAGTGTGCTAAGAGAAAAAAAACAACTCGACGCAACGAGCTAGAAAGATACAGAAGAACAGCACTCATACTATACAAACATTCTGACTCGGGAATAACCTCAAAGTCTATTTACAATGTCTGGCCTACCTGTGTCTTCCTATTTGACCCGTCTAATAATAAAAGATTTCTTACAAATGGCTACTAATCCTCAGTAAAATGGAAAATTTCTATCATCCATGATTGTCTGTGGCAGGCAAATAAAGCAAGTAAAAAACTATCATTAGACTCAACAGAATGTCCGCTTTAGCTACTAGGTGGTACTCATAGGAGAGTCTTGATGTATTCTTACCTTTTATCAGGCTTTCCTGAGTACATGCAAAGTGCTTTCACCATCTGCTTGAAGGGGAGGCAGTGATAATAACCACTCCCTGTCAAGGAGTTCTCTGGGAAAGTCTTCTGGGAATATATGGAAAAGATAGGTTTCTAACTGCAAAGGCCATGAGGATGATGAGGACTCCTTTGTCAGATGATGCAAGCCTGACTGTGGATAGCTCCAGCAATAGAGCCACAACACGAGAAGACAGTGAAGTTGGCAAAGCAGCTCGAGAAAGAATTGTGGAAAGTGTTTGAAATGTCCAACTGAGAAGCTGGATTTCTTTTTCTTTCTTTCTTTTTTTTTTTTTAGATGGAGAAATAAGAATGCATGATGAGATGACGGATCTTTGTTCTGGAAAGATGTCCAAGGGTAGTAAGTACTGGGAATTTATTGGTGGAGTAAGAGACTGAAAGGAAGCCAACCAGCCAAGGATCTATGCAAAGTCTAGGTCAGAGGTTTTGAGGTGCTAGGAGTGGGCAGGGCAGCAGAAAACAATGGATAAATGCAGTGTACTTTTTCAGTGTGAGGTGATACACTTCCTGAGGGCACTGGCCACAGACAGACAGTGTTGCCTGCATCAAGAGAGAGGTCTTGGTGCCTTGGGCTAAACCAAAGAGATGAAAGAACACAAGTCACACAAATTTGAGCCCACTGCTCCTTTAAAGACTGGCCTAGTGGCATTTGTCTAAAGGTGATGTGGAAATGAACAAGTGTTAAAGCTTTCTTAACCAAAGGTCCTGTGATACAATGAATATACTTTATAAAAGGCCTACTAGTCACATTATTCCATACCATATGTAAAAATTTAGTCATATATGTACATGTGTGTATATATATATATAAAAATTAGTCCTTTCAAAAGGAAAATGTCTATGACTTGAATCATCCTAATACGATATAATAATACCACAAGTTTTACATCATTTCCTATCTATGAAATCTGCTATGAGAATGCACCTAAGTAATGATTTCTGCATGTGATGATGAAATTCTTTGTTCCCAAATGTGATCGAGACAATGAACCTACTTTCTAGAATGCTCTGAGAGAGAATGGCCGAACATAAGTCATAGAATCACAAACTTAAATGGCCTGCATTTTTCTTACTTACATGCTATTCTAGAATGCAAAGTTACAATCTCTAAACACATGCAACAAGGCAGATTCTACCATCAGCATTGGTTCTTGTGATACCTAAGTTATGAGGTCTTAGTTATACTACTGCATTCATTTTCTTCTTTCCAAAAACAAAAAGAAAAGTGAATCTGTAAATGGAGCTCAATAGATTATTTAAAAAACAATTAGACATAACATAACTCTAAGTGAAGATTTCCTGACACTCTTCTGTGTCTGTTAAGTGTATGCATTGTGCATACCAATGACAAAGCTAGAAAGAAAACTCACCTGTTTTCTTCCTCAAGATCTGCTAGGATTCTCTCTAGCTCCCCTCTTTCCTCACTCTCTAAGGAAATCAAGATCTGGGCAGGACTACGAGGCTGGCTCAGGGGGGAGTCCTGGTTCAAACTTTGGCAGTAATGCTGGATTAACAAATGTTCATCATCTCTGGAAAATAAAATCAAAGGTTTTGGTTTTTTGGTCCCCTCGTTATTTTGGTTTATGGGTCAGGAACTTGAGTGTATATATTTAAAATTCTTTTAAAAAAAAAAAAACAACCCATTTGCTCTTAACAATGAGGTAGAGATAGAGACCCTTTTTCTAAAGACTTTTTTTATATATATTCTACTTGTGGACAATACACAGTGTTTCTTGCTCAAATCTTCAGTTGGATTTGATTGGCCTATTTACATGGAGAAATAAAAGGCAGGATTCTAGAAATGCTGAGCTCTCAGTTGACACTGTAATCAATAGTTAATAAATATTAAAAGACACAATAACAGCTGTGCAATGCTTTTGCTATCAAGCATGTCATGATAATCTGTCCACTAACCCACACTCTTGTTGATATTGGCTAGGGGGAAAAATAGAGTATAAAAAAAAGGAAAGCAGTGTAACCAAAAAAGGGTTGCTTCAGTAAACCAGATTCCTTTTTGACAGTCAACGATGAGTAAACTGTACTGTGACTAAATGATTATTTAATTACTGTTTAAAAAGTAAGCAAACAACAAAAAAATTGAGTGGGGGTGGGAGGGTGTAGGGCAAAAAATCCCCCTAAAGTGACTGGGTAAAGAAGCCAAAACAAGTAATTCTTAAGACTCTAGCTTACAAGGTCTAATTTTGGGGGAATGGGAAGAAGCAAAATTATTATCTTTTTTTCCCCACTCCTAAAAAAGTCTGCTAACCTCCAAGGTGTAAGAATTGTATTCTGTCATGAATGGGAAGCTAAAATTCTTCAATCTGATCAAATATCATTAAGATAATATTCTATTTTGTCTATCCCCATTTAATTTCCTTTTCTCATCTCTATATAAGGGAATAAAAAACCCTCATAATTTACCATCTAAACATGCATCTAATGGGTTCTGTGTCCTTAAAATGAGCTAAGCTTTTACAAAATAAAGCAAAATCAGTTTTGCTATCTAATTCTCTTTCCCAAATTATGACATTTTATTGCTAGACCTTCTCATGTTTAATTATAGCATCTGACTATAATTACACTATTTTTAATGGTAGGTAGCTCTGTGGTATCTATAGATACCACGTGAATAATAACTTTGAATGTTCTAGAGCTTCTAATATTAACGCCAGTGACCCAAAGAAGCAAATCATTCAAGTCATTTGTATTTGTATTTGATTTTTCTGGCCAAGTATGGGATTTATCAATACTGTTAACATCCCCCCCCCAATAATTAATAAAGAGAACCTTTACTAATAATAAAAGAACAAAGTTTTGTTTTACATAACTAAGTCATATACAAATGACTGAATGTTGACTCTTCCTACCTTGATTGCCTTTATGTGCCAGCTCAAGTTATTCTCATGTCTTCAATACTTAGCTATTCATAAATTTTCACTTTCATACTATTTCCCTTCAGTCTGATCCTTATTATGGTCTTTTTCTCATCTGTGTGTGACACTGAGTTGCACATCAACTATATATGATAAGTTGTGGATTTCTCACCACTTTATTTATCAAACTAAAATTATATATAAAATCATTGTACTTGAATTCTCCTAAAGGATCTATTTACTTGGCCAACCTGTTTCTTTCATAGTACCGCCTTCATTTGCTCCTTCATCTTGGGCCCTAGTCTTTACTTGGTTCATGTCAGTACTGTATTCTTTCTACCATATCTGCGTTCTCCTCAACACCACTCTCTTGCCTCATCCCACTGATAAATTGACTTGAATCTATCCTTTGACACCCTTCCTATGATTGTGTCTTTGATAACCTCCAGGAGTCACTAAACCACAGATTCATGTTGGCTCTCTGAAGGGAAGCGTTCTATTGGAATAGCAATGCATCTATACCAAGATTACATTTCCTCTCCTGCCAAGTAGACCAAACTGCACTTAGTAATTACTTTTAAAACAATATTAAATCCCTAAACAAGCAGTTCAAGTATTTGGGACTCTACATTTCATGACAATATGATCTCATAGAAGTTTCAGTATCTATTTTTGCTATGCTGGAACACCAGTAATGGCAAAATTTGGATGAGCTCATTCCATGCCAGGTTGTGAAGAGTTAAGCCAAAAGGATAGGAATGACTCGGAGAAAGATCCAATGAGTCCACTGATAATTCCTATATCCTGCTCTACCCTACCTCTAAATCCCTCAAAGCAATTTCACGGTCAGGAACATTTTGTAAAAAGAGATGGGATACTTACATGCTCTCATTAGGAGAGATGCTATCATTTAGATAAGATCCATTGCTGTTTTCCATTTCTGCTAGCCTGATAAAAAACGTAAAAGCTCATTAAAACTTATGTGACTTCTTAGAATCTATTCAAGACCTAATTGAACATTCCTGAAAGCTAAAGGATAAATCATGTCAAGAGGAGAAAAGAATCCTTCAAACTAAAGGATGTGTGTGTTGGCCTAACCATTTGAGGCAGTGTGTGGTAGATCAGAGCTAGTTAGTAGCTTTACAGTGATGCTACAGATTCTAAGGCAAGCTGTGTTTTCTTTTTTTTTTTCACAGATCGATCCTCCTTTCACTAAGAACAAGCCTTTGTTTTCTACAAAAAAGCTTCCCTAATAACACATGCATTCCTTGCCCTGCACTATCCCTTGTCTAAAAGACAATTAATGCCTTCGACTGATGATAGACTTACATAGCTCTTTAATGCTATCTAAGGCTGATGACCATGCTTAGCAGTTAGGATATTGAGAAAGGATGGATTCACAGGAAGCTCTCTTATCATTCTGCCACCAATTATTACTTTTAAAAAAACCCTTTTGCCTCAGAAAATAATAAAGTCTTTTTACAGAGGAAAAAAAAAGTTGAACACTTACAGATTTACTTAACAAAGATATTATATACCATTAGTAATTCTATGTTTACTATTTTTTTCCTAAAAGTATTTCAAACACAAGGAAAGTGAGACAGAAAGTTGCAAGGATTAGGAAAATTAATTACTCTGCTCTTAGATCACATTATGTAAAATAAATACACTAATGGAAAGCTGATTCTTTCATATTCTCCACATAGCACAGTATCGTATCTTTACTCATTAATGTCTAGTCTAGCAGGTCTCCAAGAAGTTTAATAGATCTCTAAGTCACTGTATTAAACGTGCTCAGTATATAAAGCATAACAAGGCTATCGTAAATGCTTAAAGGCTGGGGTTAGGGAAGGTGGTTCTGGACCAGTGCTTTTCTTTGTGTCCAAAACCAGCATGCAATGGAATGGCATGCACGTTAGAGGGCAAGTTGATTAGTAAAAAAATCGGGAAGATTGAGGAAGAAAGAAAATATTTCTTTAAAATGATTAGAGGTTAGCTTTCCTTGGTTAGTTATTTTCAATCAGTATTTGCCTGGCATTCAACTAGTCTCATACCTGCTAGCATAATGTTCAATGCGTGAATGAGTATCATCGTGTGAGAGTTGAGGGGACGAGGCAGGCCTATAAGGCAGAAAATGTCATTAGTCACAGATACCATCCATTAATGGAGAAAAACCAAAACCAAAAAACAACCCCCAAAACAAAAAAAAAAAGGGAAAACCCCAACAAAACCACCACACAATTATGTTATACATATGGCCTAGAATGTTCTTCATCAATGGATAGTGTACACAGTTGATCTTTATTTTAGCTAATCCAGTATTTTTAAGCCAAGCTTGAGAGGTGATTTCTCATACTTTTCTCAGCAGCTATACAGACCAAACACTTTTCTGGAAAGTGTTGATGATATAGCAATGGATCGGAGGAGACAACTTCGAAGTCACATTTTGTTCTCCTACCCTGTAATTTTATATATCCTAGAGCTCGGGGGCTGTGTTTAACTCTTTACACTTGTGCCATTTTATTGACTACCTTCTAATTGAAAGGAAACTGTACATGTTTCACTTTCTGAGAGGTAACTAGTAGCTCCTGACTTCTTCACATTCTATGAATCAGGATAGCCTAGTCTGGGTAATTTTGTAAAGAAGGACTCAGTTTACCAGGTGACTCAGTTTAGCAGCACGACCATGCTACTACATGGAGGGGGTGCGGGGTGGGAGAAAGTGACCTTGAAGATTATATTGTAACATTTTAAAATGAATGATTGATGAATCATCCTTAAAAATCATGGAAGATTTTTAAAGATATCATCAGTGCTACCTTAACTATTTATTAGGGAGACAAAATGCATTAGCATAGAGAGGAGAAAAGAAAAGGAAATTACCAGAAATGGTCTGTAGGCTTTTTGGGTCTAAGTCTTTACTTTCCCTCCCCCACCATTGGCTAGAATTTTGGTAGTATTAACACTTTTTTCCTTCCTGCAAATGTGATGTTAATTATCTATTAGGAAAACTTGCTTGGTCTTGTGATTTTTGTATTCTTTAAAACAGGGAAAATGGTGTCTTCTTGGTCTTGACACAGCACACTCTTAGGTAAAGGCATGTATCCCAAAGAAAACAAAAACCTGTTCAGTGAGGACTCTGGTTTAATCCAATGTCCAAGCAGCATTCAAGGACTTGGTCATGATACTACTAATAATATGTTTTGGAGTTGTTTGGTTTTTGCCTCCTTTTTCTCCTTAAAAAGGAGATAAAAAGATTGATACCTCAAGTCTGATGTAAATAGGAAATGCACTAGAAATTCTCTCTCATAGTGAGCATCCACTATACACTATTATAAGATGACAGTGTTTTAGAAAACACTACAGAAAAGAACTAAAAACCCAGATATCGTATCTCACAAGGGATAAAGGTCTTCTTTGTTAAAAATAATGTCTGCTTAGGTCAAGTTGGCACCATAGAGCAACTTAGAATGAATTACAAAGAAGTTTACATTGTCATGAAAAAACAAAAAATGACTGAGTTTTCCAGATGAGGACTCATTATAGTTTTGAAGAGCCTGTCTGATAGTTTTCTGAATCCCTGGAATAGTCTATTACTAGCAAAATCCTCAGGTTTGTTTCGAAGTTTGTGTAGGTCAAGATCATTTAATACTTGGAATTTTTAGCTTCCCAGCCCATTTTACTGTTTAGACACTAAAAGCTTATAAAGGAAAAAAAGATATTAGTATATAGTATATTAGTCGTATATTCTCCTGCAATAGCTGCTACCCTGGTTGTGTATAAAAGAAAGAAAACTTGACATTTTAGAGCATAACTACACCAAGAAAAGTAGACAGGTAAATCCAAATCAGGTTACTCAAATCTTACACAGAAATTCTTATAGAATTTTAATTCTTAGCCTTGAGGATATGTCCATGTTATCGTCTTAGTAATGCACATAGTACCTACAATAGCATGCACAAGCACAGGAACTCATGATAACCAGAAATCTAAAATAATATACTCTCTCAAAGAGGCACTTTGTAAGCCAGAAAAAGAGCCTAAAGGGAGTACCGGTCACAGGAGAATCATGTAAAAGCCAAGAATTAGTAAAAGTGCAAAATTAACTGGGTCCAAAAACAAGACTGTGTGTGAAACCATCCCAAACACTTCTCTAAAGCAAAGTAACAACACTCTTTTCCCTTTCTACTTAAATGGATTATTTTCTATTATGGTTAAGATCACTGGGCATGTTCTGCTCCCCTCTCCCACCACTTTCCCTTGTGTGAAAACTTCAGTAAAAAGTCTCATCCACTTAGACTTTTAAGCAGAATTATCCAAAGAATACTATGTGAACATCTTGCCTAGAAACAATATAAAAAGCTCATGTTAGCTATACCTTAAAATACTATGACAAATAGGGGCAAATAAGGGTTTGATCTAAGGAGAAATGTCTTTCTCTCAAGTACACTTTCAAATCCTGCATTCCATGTTAAGTGGATTAAATACTATCATCATCATCATAGGGTTTAATACTGGATAGAGTTACTGCCAGATAAAATACCTTCAGATCTGGCTCTTCTGCCTGAAATGGGTGCTTTATAATATATTCTGTCCATTATTTACAACTTTGTGAGAAAAGAATTTGATAAAACTACTAGCATTAAAGAAAGCATGGATTTAGTCTGTTTGCCAAGTTTGTTACTTCCTCAAAATTAGAACTTCCCACTCTTTGTGAATAATCCATCGGTCCAGCAAGAAGGCAAAGGGGAAGCACATTTCAGGTGGTAGAGAAGATTTTAATAAAGGATGTTATTCATTTTAAGTGCTTTCAAGTTCTAGAAAAACATCCTCTCCTTAAAAGAAGCTGATTACTCTTAAATGCCTGTCATCTTGTCTACTTTCCTCTTAAATATTTTTCTTTAGCATATTCATCGTTTGGATTTCTTGGCAGAGGAGAAACTACTCCAACACAGACTAAATCCACTTGTGTATCAGGAGTCAAGTACATCAAATTTTTATTAAAGAAAAAACAAAGTTTCTAATTTATGACAGACTAACTTTTGTAAACAAATAAACTACCTGGGTTATAAGAAACAATTACCAGCAGGACAGTAACATAATTGAGTCTAAATAACTCCCCAGGTGGTTCAGGTAGGATGACTAAGGCAATCAACTACTTCACTGCTTCTAGTTACCATGCAGCAGAATTAATATACCCTACAATTAAGGGGTAGAATAATGAAAGTATTTTTAAAAAGGAAGCCTTTTACTTCCGTTAGGCCAGTAATGACTTGAAATAAACCTCAATTAATAGTTTGCATTTATCACTACAGGAGTAAAAAAAAAAAGGTGGTTTAAATTAAATTACACAGTGGGACATTAATAAAAGGCTTAGTTCAAAGACAGATGAACTCCTACATAAGGTGGCCTTCGAAATAGGATCGTTCCATTTCATAGAGCTCTCTGACTTGACATAAATACATTTTAAAAGTATATACTGAAATATCCAAAAATTCCTTATAAAAACACCACACAACGGCATTTGGAAACATGAATGCGTTGTTTGCTGATATACAAAGCACAAGCCCCTAAAGAGCATTTCCTATTATGATAAACAGAGAAAAATCAATTATCTGTTGGTATCTAATATTAGTATGACTAATACACACCAGTAGTAATAAGAGAGACTACAGTTCACTTTCCTCCCAGGAGAGATGAATAGCTACTTAGGAGTTTAAATATTTAGTTTGGAGAAGAGAGCAGAGTGAGTTAGTTTCGCATTTAGAAATCCACGTATATTAAGATTAGTCAAATAGCATAGCATGACCTGATCAAAAAGTCTGCATGCCTCACTGAAATTAGTCAACCGCACTCAGCATCATCATGCTGCCCAAAGCAATCTGACAATTTTCAATCGTCCACTTCTAGCTGTTATAACAGGCCTTGAAGAGTAAGCCATCGTCTTCTGGAAGGTCCCGAAATACTGAGTCTCAAGCTATATGGCTAAAGAATGTTATTGTGCAATCGGGAGGCCCTTTCCTGCTTATACTTTAAGAAAGATATAAACACGTCTTCCAGGACTACACCATCAACCCATTAACATCTTCAACTGTAATCTGAGCTCAGGCCGGGATTTCTGCTGGGCTAACTACAGCACCAGAGGCGTGCGACTTGAAAATACCACTCACGTTCTCCTGGTGGGTGGCTGATGAAATACTCCAAAGTCTTATTAAGGGAAGGAAAAATACAAACCAAACCAAACCAAAACAAAATAACCTGAAATGAAGGGAAGGAAATTAACAAACTGAACAAAAATGAGTGTGGGCGGGGAGGGAATTCAAGCGAGCAAACGTGTTGGTGGTAGCAGCACCCTTCAGCAAAAGTACTCACGCAGAATCTACCGGCCAGAAGTTGATCAGAGTAACAGGACTGCAAAACAAAAAATGAGGTGGTGAAGAGAGACACAGGAAAACTCAGCCGCCAAAAAAATTACCAAGAGGTCAACGTAAATAAAATCCAACCAATTAAGGATGAGCCATGAAAAGCAACAGCCAAACAATGGTGCAAAGTGGGTGCCAAGAGAAACAAACAGTTGTGTGACTGACATTTCCCCGAAAGCCGAATGTGTTGCCATCCGGTCCATTCCAACTCACAGGGACTTTGAAGGACAACTGTCCCCTGTGGTCTCTGGTGGCCTAGCGGTAAGGAGCTGTGCTACCAACCCAAGGGCACCTGGTGTGACTCTACCAGCTGCTCCACGGGAGAAAAAAAAGAGTCATTTCCCAAGATCATTTACTGCCTCAACCGCACATGACAGCAGACATTCTTGGGGGGGGGATACTGTTACATCTTTCCCCCACAGGGTGACAGTTTGGGTTCAAACCACTGACTTTAGGATGTGAGGGTGATCTGGCTGCAACATCTGTCACCCCATTGATCGCCAGGGTGGACTGGGCGGATCTGGCTGGCTAGACGTGTGTCCCTTTCCTCTCTCAGAGATCTGTGTGCAACCCTTGCGAAGCTGCGTGCTCGGTTAAAGAGGGCGACCATCCCCAATAGGAGGAGGACAGTCCTTTGGTCAAAGGTATACGAGTAGCTGCGCTCGTCTGCTAGAACCTCCAAACAAGCTCTCAAACCACAGACTTTGAAATTAGCATCTCAGTGCTCAACGCCACCAGGCTCCTGTGTGTGTGTTACTCGAATTATGGAAAAAGGAGAAGCTTTGAAAAAGGTGAAGGAAAGCATCATCTGTTTGCTCATTAGGATCGCGGCGCCTTACTGTGAGGTAATTTCCTGCTTCTTGACTTTCAGGTAGGGGGGAGAAAAGTGGCTAGGTGTGACCATACAACCAGATACCTAATATCTGTGTGCTGACTGGTGAGGGAGAGAAACCCAAATGCAGGCTTGAAACCAGCTCATTTGTAAACAGGCCCAAGTTTCTTTCAAAGGCTCATCAGGCGATTAGGGGCTGTGACATGGGAAAATGGCAATTGAACATCAGCTTGTTTTTCTCTTTCAACTAAAGTGAAGGCAAAGAAGGAAACAGAAGAGGCTACATCTGGAGTGAAGGGAGGGAACTCGGCCGAGAGGAATTCAAGTGGACATCAAAGGAGACACTGCTTTGTGTTGCCACTACTCACGTTTCCATGTTGTCCCCCTCTAAGACAGTCTGCACTGGCAGGTAGCCCATTCGGGGATGCTTCGCAAAATACCTTTTGGTTCGAAATTTGTTTTTTAGTACCTTGGCGAAATCACGAACATCTTCTCCAGATGTAGTCTGCAAAGGAAAAGCCAACAAATCAAATCAGGTTGACCAGAGACGGTTCTCACACAGATGTACCCCACCCCCACCCCCTTTCCAGGGTTTTGCCTTCATTTTGGAATTAGGGAGTGTGTGAGGAAGTGGAGGAGGGTTGAGAAGAAGAAGAAGAAGAAAAAAAAAGACTGTATTCAGACAAAGGCGGCTCTGAACCAGACCTGCTGTGTGCAAAGTGGGGAGAACTGGCTGCAAGACTCAGGTTACCTATACACTGGGGGTAATCATAGTTCAACAGGTGGTGAGAAGTAAATAAAGTATATACACCCAACTGCTCAACAAATGGTGGTTGGTTTTGTTGTTACGTGCCATCAAGTAGGAACCGACGCCTAACTGACCCTCAAGTGGGTTTTCGGAGGCAGTAAATCTTCCTGCAAGAGTGCCCATCTTCTCACAGAGCAGCTGCAGAGTCTGAATCATGTGCCTTTCACTTGACGGCATCGCTCCTTACCACTAAGCCACCAGAGCTACGTACATGGAAAAAACTCTTTCGATGAGTGTGTCACAGCCACCCAGAGGTGGCCAGAAAGTCAGTTGTGGGAATATCCATCTGGAAGTTGGGTGCCGCCAAGTCAAGTTTCAGCTCACAGCCATCTCATGTGACGGAGCTGAACTTCCCGTTAACATCTTCTAGGCTGTCATCTTTATGGGCGCATTTCTCCCTCACTGCCCTCACCCACCCACCCACACACACAAGGTTCACATGGTGAACCTTTCACATAAGCAGCTGAGTCTTACAGCCATTACAGATCGGATGGAACTCACTTCTGCCCTCAAGTTCATGGAGTCGCCATGATTCAACGTGGCAGTGACTCATTTGTAAGTAATTCCACAAAGCCCACAAGAATAGCTTGATTTCACCTGCCAAATATGGTATATTGACCATTTCTGACTAGCTCTGTGAAAGGCAGGGAGCTGCGCTGGCCTACTGGGTAAGGAGTTGGGCTTCTAACCCAGAGGCATCCACTTCTTAGGAGAAAGATATGGCCAGTCCCCTCCCATGCAACTTACAGCCTCTGCAAACCTGCTGGAGGGTCAGGTACAAATCTGTTCCAACTTGATGGAAATGAGTTTTGAGTGAGTTTAGGAAAGAAATCAAAGCAAGAGAGATGATAAATTTTTTAAAGCTGAGACTCTAATGAGAGCTCTGGTGGCCTCGTGGCAAGAAGCTACACTGCAGCCTCAAGGGTAAGCAGTTCGACTCCACCAGCTGCTGCTCGGTCTACTCCTGTGTGATTTGCTGGCTCTAAAAACAGTCTGTGAGCTCAACTATTGATTGGTTCTGACTCGATGGCACAGCAAAATCATCATCACTTTCATGATGGATGCTCTAAGGAAGAGCTGCTTGACGTTTCAAGGATGTGGGAATCACCAGCTAAATTAAGGTTTCGGTTTAGAAAGTCAAGGGTTGGCCCAAGGTTCTGCTTTTCAGATACACTCCAAGAGAATGCCACTGCTGTGGGTCAACAGACCGTTTCTGGTATTTGGAAAACACAAGACTGGGACCCAGCTCTGTCAGGCTGCCAAGTCTATGTCCTTTCCATTTCCCCAGTGATTTCTCCAAGGTCTTTTTGGCCACAAAGCATTTTCCTAATGCAACATCCAAGAGAGAGCTCCACATCTTAATGGTAGATAGAATCTTGGGCAAGCTACTCAACCTCAAGACCTCAGAGTCCTTGTCCATTAGGAGGGGATAAAAATAAAGACACCTATTCCACACAGGGTAGTTGAAAAGTTAAGCAACTAATGGTCATTTGGTGTTTGTACAGATTTGAAAAAGGTTAGTTTGGAGTATATACAACAGAGGAGGAGAGTGATGCTGATTTAGAGCAGTGAATTATGATTTTTGAGGAGCCCTCAGGATCGCCCATGGTCAACAGGCCCTATAGCTGTAAGACTTCACCATACAACTCTAAACCAAACCACACTGCTCTCGAGTCGATTACAAGTCACGGTGACCGTCCACCAGGTTGTCAGAATTGTCACTCTTTATAGGAGGATTCTGCCCACCTCCCTCCCACTGACCTGCTGGTGAATCTGAACTGCCAACCTTTAAGGCAGCAACCCAGCATGCCACAAGGGCTCCTTTATACAGCCTCTATGGACCTACAAAATACGTGGAAAAACATATTCCCTTTAACTGTGCTAAGAAAAAGCTAAGTATTCATTCAGCACTATTTGTTGAGTAGCTAGAAGGTCCCACTGTGTGCTGGAGAGATTGCTGTAGGCACCAGAGATGGGGCAAAATGGTTTGTGAGCCATTTTGTCTGAGGACTACCTGGGAAAGCATCCGAGGACCCCATAAATCACAGAATTACACCCGACTGCAATATTGTACAAAAAACAGAATGTTATCTCATGCTTGGGAAGACTCTAACTTACCGGAGTGCAATATTCCACCATGGGATAGTGCATTTTATGGCCTTTTGCAACTCGACCAGAAAAAAAGCAGCTTTGGCAGATGTCATAATTAAAGTGCTTCAGACTCCTGTACCTGAGTGAAGAACAAAAACAAACACATATGTATTTCTTCAAATTAAAGTCCCAGAGAACACACTTTTTCTACATTGTCTTCATTCTAGAAGCAGAATGCAATGTTCATTAGTCCCACAAGGTAAGTGATTAACAACTCACGTCCGGGTATCTCAGGTGTGTCTACCTTACAGCATCAAAACATTTTGGCAGAAAGATTATCCTACCGACATATGGATGGAGGGGGAGAAAATCCTCAGCTCTTATTTCAACTCCACCAGGAACTATTTCAGATTAACAGAAAAGTATTGGCAAACTTCCAGTCTTTTGAAGACCAAATACTGGGATTTGATAGAACTTTTAGGAGTGAGTGACCTGCTTCCCTCTCCATTATGGGGACAGCATTTTTTATGAAGTAATTTTTTCAAAAGAATCATAAAGGTAAAGCAATTTCATCAGACAAAAGAAAAACTGAAGAACTCTCAATTAAAATGAGGTTTACTTTAATTACATTTTCTGACTGGCTGGCATGATTCATCTTCAGAGAGAGTGAATGTGGACAGTTTCTTTTCTCTCTCTGGTCAGAAATCCTTTCCCTTCTTTTTTTTATTTATTTTTATGTGTGTGTGTACCGTCAAACTGGATCTGACTGGTACAGGAGGAGATTGTCCCTCCTTCTACAGCAGAGCATCTGGTGGATTCGAACCGTGTGCCTCTGGGATTCCTTTCCCTTCTTACTCACATATAATCACTGAAGCCTCAAGGATCAACACAATGTTGAGTAAATGAAAGAACTGTAAGCATTTAGTTGAAATTAAGGAATCTATAATTTCCCCTTCATTCTCAAAATACTATATTCCTTGCTTCATATCACATCTACTTTTTGTTTTCTCAGATAAAAACCTCAAGCAGTTCAAAGGAACACATTCCTTAATGGCACACATGTAAATTTGTGGGAGAGCTGCTTTTCCTTCCCCCCCCTTCTTTAAAGTCTGAACCATCTTTTTTGGGGAGAGAGGAGGAAAGAGAAGCTCTATTTTCTAAAAGAATTGAATTTGATAACAAGAACACAACTGGATATGAAAATGCTCTTTGAGATCCTCCAAAGATTATGCCTGCCTTCTTTTCTGTTGGATAACTTCTTCCCCTGCTTACATATCCCACTGGCTCAGGAAGCGGAGAAAAAAAAGAAATGGAATGCAGCCCCCATCAGCTTCCTTCTTACTGGCCTTTAACTAGGAACGGAAGAAGGCATCCTGTGCAAGCTCACCGCTGTCTGTTTAGGCTTTAGAAATTGCTAGAGGTTCTTTGTGAAACTTCTCTGAAAACAGCATGCAGTCAGGAAGAATAAAACACCCAAGGTAAAACAGCTCCAGGAACAAAAAAAGTACACAAATGAGAGAGAGTAGTTATGAGGAGACAAAGTAATAAAACAAGTCTAAGCAAAACCTGAAATGGGTATTTACTTTTCTGCTAAAGTGGATTCAGCACTGGCATTAGACCATCGACTTGGTCTATGACTTTGAGACTTATTCATCACTATGGAAACTCTGAGGGGGCTCCAGATGTTTAAATACATCATCGTTTCAGAATCTGGACTGAGGATTTTTTTTGGGGGGGGGGGGCAGGCAGTAGAGAAAATCAAGCCAATTGAAAATCCCCTCCTCCCACAACAGATTGTCCTGGCTGAAGATCTTCTAGGCGATTGTCTTCTGTGGCGTTTTCCGCGTATCAGAGGAATAGCCAGCCCTGATGGTACCTCTCACTTTCAGATTGAAATTTACAAGGAACATTATCTTTTTTTTTTTTTTAGCTGCTTTGTGAATCTTATTTACATACTTTAAATTCCCATGGAGGTTCAGTCGGGATACTCTGCAAAGAACATTATCAGATGCACAGATAAAAAGTGAAGGTCTAGGATGCCTGAAATAATCTTTGCTACTTACAGAGTGGTGTAAGATAACCGTGAGACTGAACTCCTACAGGGGGTCTCTCCAAATAGAAGTGTCTTCGTTTCAGTACTGATTCGTGAAGGATTTCGTGAAGGATTTCCATAAAAAGAAAAGGCTCTCAAAAAGGCGAGGAATGGTAAAAAGCTTTGGTTCAATGACGAAGGAAATACAGTTACTCTAGATCCCTTGACAAGTGTGTCTGTGGAGACAGACAGTCCAGTTCAACTACTGCCCTGCCTCTGCGGAGCTGAGAAGTGAAGGGATCTGCCTAATGAGTCAGACTCACCAAAATCACGCTGTCAACAGGGGGGTGACAGGTGTGACCGATGTTCTGGCCCCACCACCTTCCCCTCCCATGTAGGAGAGAAGTGAACTAACAGCAATCGAGACAGACCAGTAAAAATAAAGTTAAAAAAAAAAATGAGAAACGAGAAAACAGCAACGGCATTGTGGCTCCCGATACCTGAATCCAATGATTGGACACTCCTTGCAGATGTTGCACTTGGCCTGATGCTTGGCAGTTTCGGCAGCAGCCACTCTGTGCAGAACAGGCAGCCACACCATGGACTGGGGCTCCAGTCTCATCCAGTCAAGGAAGAGGGCGGCTTCGATCTCAGGTTTATTGTTGGCCTGCAGGGGTGGGAGTGAGGGGGAAGGCAGGCAAAGAAAGAAATTTTTAAAAACTGCAAAAGATGGCACTGAGGCATGTGTCTGTTCAAGCGCTGAGCTGATACGTACAAATGGAAAGGTCTGCTTTTCATAGCTGGCTCCAGCAAAATCTATCCCATGTCCACATAAGCCAAATGCCCCCAAGCCTCCACTAAAATGCCATCACTCGTTTGGCCACTAAATGACTAGGGAGTAAAACAAACAGAAAAAAGGAACGCAAAACATACCCCTAGATGACTATATTTCATTTAGAATTTCAAGTATATTATTATTTTTAATAGAATATAAGTTAGTAATATTTTTTCCTTTGAATAAAAGTTTACAAATCATACTGAGGGCTTCAATGGGCTCTTGTGTGTCATGAAGTGTGAGGACGGCACAGGACAGAATAGGGTTCAGATCTTTTGTTCATAGGGTCACTATGAGTCATACTTGATTCGATGGCACCTAACAACTGGTTTTTCATTCAATCATTCATGGACACTTTGTTTTATAACATTTCTTACCTTTGATTAACTCTTTAAACTATCATGTCTAATCGACCTCCAGGGAGCTCTAGTGATTTAGTGGTAAAGAATTCAAATCTACCAACTGCTTCATGGGAGAAAGCTGGGCAGTCTCCTCCTATGTGGTTTATCGCCTCTGAAAACCCACTGGAGGGTCAGCTTTGAGTTGGCTCCAACTCTGCAGCACATAACAACAATCAACCAACCTCTTAATGTATATTGCCTTTTCCTTCACCAAGCTCATCTATTTGTTTTTACTCCCTTCTAATTCTTTTTTTTTTTATAATACCAGAACATTTATTGCATAACTAAACAGTGGAATTCTTAAGATGAACTGGATGCTGCAACAGCTGCCCGTTTGGGTTTCGGTGTTGTTCCTTCACGGAATCCATGCCTGAATCTGCGGTAAACGATCTTTAGGTGCCTCATGCGACCAGTACCGGTGGTATTTCGCCTTTTAGCCTTGGCACTCCAGTTATACTTTCTCTTGCGCTTGGCGGGGTAGCCACACTTGCCACAAGTGGACTTCTGGAGGTGGTAGGCCTTGGAGCCACAGCGGCGGCATAGCGTGTGCGTCTTATTGCGACGCTTTCCAAACGATGACGTTCCCTTCGTCATCTCGCTTTCGTTGCCGCGACCAAAGATCCCCTCTAATTCTTGTTAACTATCCAAGATTAATTCTGTCTACAAACCTTTCCTCAGCTTTTTAAATAGTAGTCTTACTATAACTGACCTTTTGCGACTGATTGATGACACTCAGCACAATTTGTCCTAGATTCATTCATATTGTATAATATTTCAGAAATTCTTGACCATTGTTCAGTGATACACTCCCAACTCTTTGCTCAATAATGCTGCCATAAACATGGGTATGTGTGTGTCAGTTTGCGTTGCAGCTCTTATGCCTTTGGGATATGTACCTAGTACTGTGATTGCTGGATCAAATGATATTTCCAACTTTCTAGGGAGCATCAAAGCTTCCTATAGTGGCTGCACCATTTTACATACTCATAGCCAGAAATTTCCTAACACTTAGATATGCATTAGATACTACAACTAAACCTGTCTATATACTTATGTACACACACACACACACCCTTTTTCTTGCTCACTCGCTCTCACTGAGACCTGGTGATGCAGTGTACAATGTGAGACTACTAACCAAAAAGCCAGTGGTTCAAAGCCCTCATTCTAGAGAAAGATGGGCAGTCTTTTCCTGTCAATATTTATAGCCTAAGATACATGATGGAGGGTCATTCAATCTGTTTTGGAATGAATTCAATGGCAATGGTTTCTGTTTTCTTAAAAAAATAAATTGTATATATAACCTACTCATGCTCTCCCATAGAGCTGGTTACAACTCAAAAGAAATCCTCTATCACATTTCCAAGCTATAATTTTAACAGACGTTATAATGCTCATCTTTCTCCAGAGGAATATACAAGCATACACACAAATTTTTATCTATACATGGGCTTGAACGGCCGAGTGGGTAGAGTTGCACAGTTGTGGTGACTTGTTGCTGCAGTATATATACTGGCAAGTCAGAACTGACCCCGAGCTGACCCTCCAGCAGGTTTTCAGAAGCAGTGAATCAGAGAGGAGGTGACTACCCATCCTTCTCGCTCGAAGCAGCTGGTGGATTCGAACTGCCAAGGAGGTGCAGCCTTTGGATTAGCAGTGCACCTCCCCACAGACAGTGGAACCAGAGCTCTCAGTAGGGACTTAAAGTATGTTTAAAATTTAGTTTATTGTACTTTTTAAGGTCTATGAGATGTACTTCATTTTTAAGAGAAGAGATTTTTAAAATCAGATCTTTATCTTTGTTAAACTAAGCTATTTTCTTTCTTTTTTAAAAAAAATAAAAATCATTTCTGCCTGGAAATCCTAATGTCTGAAATTACTGTGGGTCTAATGAGGTCTTTCTGTTGATTCTCATCTTGGTTCCTTGTGGGCTTCACCATTTTTAAAATATGTACTAAGTGATCTTCATTTTCTTGTCAGATGATACTTTGAGCCCTAGAATGAAGATGCTCTCTTCAGAAATAACTTTCTGTCATCTTTTTGTCAAGAACCAAGGGTGCACTTGCCTGTTCAAAAGTGAACTTAAACAAAAACTATCATATGTGATATTTCATAGCAAACCACTAATGAGCACTGGAACTTCAAACCCATGTTGCTTCCTTTTGAATGTAGTCGGCTAATAAAGCATCAATTCACATCTCAGAAATAAAGCAAGTAGGGTTTAAAACCTGACAGGCCATTTGGCTTCAACACTGACCACCTTCAACCCTATTCCAGTCATTACCCTTGATTATAAATTAAACAACATTATAACGAGCTGTTTAACCTTGGATTTCCTAGCTGCAAAAAGGTATCAATTCAAGCTACTGATCAAAAGCTTTTGTTGAGCACTCTCTGTGTAGAGTGCCATCACAGAAGTACTTTGTGGAAAATTAAAAGGGGAGGGGAGAAAGAATTTTTAGAACCTCAAGATGAAAGGGACCAGGCAAGTCAATTCATCCTTTTTAAATGGTCCCACAGAGCTGGGAGAGCATCAGTAGGGCCTACTCCAAACTCTTCCCCCAATGCCAGTGTGTTTTCACAGCCACTATATAAATACTCAGGAGCTCTGGTGGCCTAGTGGCAAGAAGTTGCACTAAAACCCCGAAGGCATGCAGGTCAAGGCCAACAGCTGCTCTGTGGGAGAAAGATGGGCAATGTCCTCTGTGATTTATGGCCTTTAAAAACCCACCATAGGGGCAGCTATGGGTTGGTTCTGACTCTATGGTACACAGTGTGTTTTCATAGCCACTATATAAATACTCAGGAGCTCTGGTGGCCTAGTGGGTAAGAAGTTGTGTTGCCAACCCCAAAGCAGGCATGTTTGAATCTACTTAGTGCTCTGCAGGACGATGGATAGTACCCTCCTGTGGGATTTTTCAGCCTCAGAAACCCTGTTTGAGGGTCAGTCAGTTCCAACTCGACAGCAAGGAGAAAATATGTGTGAATGGCAGAAATACTGCCCTCAAGAAGGAGCAACCTATGCACACCCATGTGTATTGCAGCTTTGTTCGCAATAGCAAAGAGCCAGAAACAACCCAAGTGCCCATCAACAAACGAATGGATAGAGAAGCTCTGGTATCATACAATGGAATACTATGCAGCACTGAAAAACAAGAAACTCATGAAATATTATGCAAAATAGATGATCCTGGAGGACATTATGCTGAGTGAAATATCTCAGTCACAAAAGGACAAATATTCCCTAGGGCCACTGTTGTAGAACGGGACTGACATCAGGGTTGAGAGAAGACAGAAGAGGAAGGGAGGAATGATGTATTAAAATATCATGAGGGAGAGAACTGTTTAAAAGGGATATATGAATTGGTATTGTTGTCATGACAGGAGTCCAGAATGAAGGCTGCACAGGGGAGGGATGTGGGGGGAGGGATGAAGGAGTTTTTCTTTCCTTTTCAAGGAGGGGAGTGAATTGGGGGGGGGAAGTTTGGGGCAGGGAGAAAAGTACAAAAATGAATGACTCAAAACCCTAAGTCTCTGTAAACTTTCATTTAAAAAAAATCAAGTATAAATACAGTAAAGATCTAATAAATCATACAGCAGTAAAAAAAAAAAAAAAGAAGGCGCAACTCATCTTAAAGGATGATCTTAAGTATTTATGCGTACTTTCCTAAAAAGGAATGGAGTCCTGGTGGTGCAGTGCATAACAATTGGGCTGAGAACCCAAAAGCCATCAGTCTGAATCTGCCAGTGGCTCTGAGAAGGCATGTCAGGCATTCTCCCATCAGTTTTTATTTGCTAAGGTGGAAATTACTCAGTGGAGTGGTGTGGTGAGTTAATAAAGTGACTGTCTCACACTGAGTAGAAAGCTCTCAGCAGAGTGAACAGAAGCAGAGATTCCAGGTCCCAACCACATGGGTTCAAACCTCCATTTTGCCACTTACTTGCTGTAAGAACTCAAGAACATGACTCAGTCAATCTCTGGATTTTAACTGTGGAATGTGTCCTTTGCTATAAATCAGCCTTTTTGCTCTACAGAGGTGGTTAATGGTTGGGCTGCTGACAGAAAGGGTAGGAGTTGAAACCTTCCAGTTGCTCCCCAGGAGCAAGATGGGGCAATCTTGTCCCCTTCAAATTTAAAGCTTCAGACACTGGATGGGCCGCTCTGCCATCTTGATGACAGTCATTCAGTTTTATGAAATGCGAATATTAATGTCTGCTCACTGGTTTGAAGAATGAAGTGAGTTAGCAAATGAAAGGCACTTGGAATGGAGGCTGGTGGATAGCCAGAGCCATATCACTGTTTGCTATTCTTATCATCGTCATTATGATCCACTTGACCAGAAATCCAGGTATTCTCAGCCTCTGTGCAGATCTTTAAATACTTCACCAGAGCTGCGGTGTCCCTCTGTGCCTCCTCATCCGTATACCCTT